TTCCAGTGCATAGTGCCCTCAGGTCAGTTACATGGCGTTCAGAATGCCCTGACCTGTTACAAAGTTCGTTTTGACCTTGGTTGACCTACTACATGACGTCATCTATTGTTCTAGAACAATTAAACATGTCATAAAGGTCTTGTTTACCATGTTACACAAAACGAAAAATGAATAATAAAGAGAAATCCATCTTCTTCGAAGTGTAGTCTTCTCCCCTGGCTGTTTTTCTTGCTCTGGCTTGTAGCTCTGGCTTCTCAGCAACTTGTGGGGCTTGAACAACACGTAGAAATCTCAGGGTTCTCCTTTTCTTGGTAGTGGTGGGCAGCAAAGTGGTGGCGCACTGGCTATGGGTAGCTACTTAGCCTATGGAATAAGCTATAACTGCAGTGTTGATGTCACATCCTAGACATAGATGAATGTCTTGACAACAACGGTGGCTGCGAGCGAGAGTGTATCAACATGGATGGGGGATACGAGTGCCGATGCGGAACCGCCTACTATCTACACTCGGATGGAAAGACATGTTTAGGTATGTGTCAAAGTCTTTATGATATCCGTGACATTGGGCGGAGATTACGTTTCATTTGATTGACAGGGTTGTTATTCTGCTATACTGTTGTACTGGAAAATCATGGTGTGAATTGCAAATCATTGTGTAATACTGGAGTGAGTAACGCCATACAAAGGTATGAGTAGTAATTCTTTTTATGATGCAACTCACTGGGTATCTCCACTTGACATTATACCACAATACAGCTCCAATATATATTCACAAAACCCCAAAACACTTCCCTGATGTCTGAAATCTCTTTCTTCTGTTTCATACCACAGAGCTGGATGAGTGTTCCACTGGAAACATGTGTGAGCAAATCTGCAACGACCGAGTGGGCTACTACGAGTGCCAGTGTGACCCTCTTTTCTCACTCGCTTCAAATGGCAGAACATGTTACGGTGAGTGGCCTGTGTGCTTTCATCATCATAATCATCATCGGTCGACTATAGTGCAGGCGACTGCAAGTTCCCTTTATTTCAATCTGTTACTAGCAATGTCAGAGATCTGTTTCGCCGGGAGATGGTTTTTGAAATCCCCCATGAGATATTGGATGTACTGTAGAGTGTGTGTTACGCTCCGTAGTTACCAAGTGGTGCAAGTGAAAAAGGACTGAGCTTGCAGTAACTTAATAGTATATCCCTGAGGCTACTTAAAAGTATCATTTATTCACTGACAGACATGTTTCATGTTTTCTTGTGCTGCTTACAGTGTTCTAAATGGATAGAAGATGATCGCTTTGTGTACTCTAGAGATCGACGGGACACATGTGGTCTGAAATCTCTCATACCTAATGTTTTAATCTTGTCCAATGTACCCACAGCCAACACCACCTGCGGTGCAGCAAACACATGCCATCCACAACCCATCGGCGCATGCGCAGTCAACAACGCTGGAGCAGAATTGTGCTTCTGTGACCAGGGATACAAACTGCAACAGGACAATTCGTGTGTTGGTACGTTTCTCGCCATAGGTCATTTTGTTTGTTTCGCATAAGTGTGGTGGGCCCCCGTTCTTTAACGTGCGTGGGGTACGGCTCTCCCCAAACATGGGACCTCCATTTAACGTCCTATCCGAGGAACTTCACTAACCGAAGCTTAAGGTACTCATTTACACCCAAGTGAAGTGAGGAAAGTCGTGTAAATTGCCTTTTCCAAGGGCACAAGATCGGTGACATGGGTAGGATTCGAACCCTCTTGGTCCTGAGCCGAAAACGTAACCACTACGCCCTACGACCCCACCAAATTTAATATTTTGAAAACGTTTGAGCGATGTTATCAGACATAGGAAATGGCTCTAGTTGGGAGCCATCAGGAATTCAAAAAGCTGGGGACTGCATGATGGAACATCCAATACTTCAATTCTGAATTTTTTCTGTGTGTTTTCTTTTACAGATATAGACGAATGTGCTGACGGGACTCACAAATGCGACGAGAATGCCAAAGCATGCCGCAACACTCTCGGAAGTTACGAGTGCATCTGCAAAGAAGGTTATCACCTGTCGGCCGCACACGGCGGGCGGCGGTGTCAAAACATACACGAGTGTGACGTCAACAACGGGAACTGCAGCCAGATATGTGAAGACACGCAGGGGTCTTTCTACTGCAGATGTCAAACCGGATACTACCTGGACGCGGACGGAAGAACGTGTTTAAGTAAGATATCATTTTGAGTTTCCTTTAGATCACTGTAGTTACAGTAATAGCCATTTCTTTAATTGATACTTCCGGGATAGAAGTATTGTTTTGGGTGTCCCTAAATCATGCTATGTTTGTATGTTTGGATTCCGAAGTAAGTGCACAGGATCGACAGGATAATATTAAACAAATCAATCAGAATTGCAATATGTAAGGTTGGAGTTTGCCTCAGAACTCCAAAGTGTTACTATAATCATACTTTTTCTGTTCACAGATATCAACGAGTGTGCCTCCAACAGGACCAATGACTGCAGTACCAATGCCGTCTGCCAGGATGAAGATGGCGGCTTCCGCTGCACCTGTAACCCAGGCTACGAAGGAGATGGATCTCTCTGCGGAGGTCTGTTAATTCAGCAAAACAAAAACAAAGAAACAAAAACTAGCCAAAGGGTAGATTTTGATTCAGAAGTAAATGATGCTGGTGTCACACGTTTACTTAGTTTGTTAACTTGGTTTAAGCCTCATTGAAAATGTGATGGTGATACTTGAGACATACAGTCATGTAATTAGTTTTATTTGTAATGAATATTACGTTTTCGATGTTTCTTTGTGTTCCGTAACCAGTAAAACACCTAGTGTTACTGGGTATATTTGTGTTAACAATATTAAAAGCCTGTTGTTTCGTTTTCAGACATCAACGAGTGTTTACAAAATGGAGAAAATGGACAAGGTAACTGCAAAGTCGGCTGTCAGAACAAGCTTGGATCGTACGTCTGTCTTTGCGGGGAAGGATACGTTCTGGCCAATGACAGCGTTTCATGTGAAGGTAAGCTACATTTCTCTCTACCTCCAGATACGGAAGTATCGTTTTGAATAGGTTTGTCTGTGAGTTTGCGTGTATGCTTGTCTGGCATAGATAGAGGGTGGGAGGATATTTGGTTACTTGATTGACTCGGAGGTTAAGCCTTAAAAGGCAACACGTGAGGGTGTGCGTAAATGGGCAGTAGGCTGAGAAATTTAAGAAGTGGTTGGCTGTATGTTAATAAAATTGTCTTGATTGAATTACGTCATACCGTCTCCTCCATATTTCTGATGCATCCATGAAAACCTAAAAGGTCAAAACACTCTGTGGAATCTCTTATTTCTTGTTGAAAGCATTGCATCAATCAGGTGAAATGAATTGTTGCACATAATAGTAATTGTTGAATGTACATATTTTTCTTATAATATTATATATTATGAATATATTGTATGAATTATTTCCTCTGCTGTTCAGATAAGGACGAGTGTTTGGAGCTTCCCTGTGATCAGACGTGTACCAACAGCATCGGTTCCTACAGCTGTTCCTGCAATACCGGCTACAGCCTACAGGCGGACGGACATACCTGTGTAGGAACAGGTAAAATAACCATTTGTTACTTCAAAAGGAATTATCTAAATCCAATAACCATATGTCAGTTGATTGGAAAAAAAGACAATTAAATGATTTGTACAGATCTTATGTTAGATATTGGATTCTTGGTAGACACCACAGAAACGTATAGCCTTTTTTTCGTCTGAAAAGAACAACAACGGTGAATACACTGACCCAGACTGTCCATCATAATTAGCTGTTCAACCAATAAAAGAATGGCAATCAGAGGTTTGACCAATGAAAGAGTTGCTCCAAATGTCTGGCATATTGATGAGGTAGGTGGGGCTTTACATAGTCCCTGCATAATTTCGTCAACCAATATGGCACAGATGGATGCATGCAGGTGTTTGCATGTATCTACAATGGGACTGAATTTCTGACAGTTTCTTGATCTTCCTTCCAACTAGAACCTGTTTGTAACCATGGATGTCACCAACATGGCGAGCTGGTCTTCAACGGCACTCACAAGTACTGTCAGTGTAAACGTGGCTGGACGGGAGACGGCACCACTACATGCAAAACAGGTTAGAGTTTTCGTAGTGTAACGTAGTGTAGTGTAATACAGTTTAGTGTGGTGTAGTGCAATGCAGTTTAGTGCAGTGTAGTGTAGTGTAATACAGTTAATGTAGTGTCGTGTAATACAGTTTAGTGTAGTGTAATGCAGTTTTAGTGTAGTGTAATACAGTTCAGTGTAGTGTAGTGTAGTGTAGTGTAGTGTAGTGTAGTGTGCTTGTTTTGCTGACTCA